CAGCAGGCACAGCTGTCGGTAAGATCCACCTCTGGGTTTGCTTTTATGCTTTGGGAAACAGGTTGGTGCCACTTTAGTTGAGGGAGAAATATCTCCTCTTCTGTGACCACAATGGGGTGAGTAGTATTGGGATGTCTCCACCTCCTAAATGGCCATTTACCTCACCCCTCCCCGCCCTCCCCCTTCAGACCGAGTGTCCTTAAGACACGCTGGAACAGCGGATGCTTGGGGAGCCCATCTGGGTGAGGACCTTGTCAAGCCACTGCAGAGGCCCGTTCAGGTGCAGCTCGATCCAGCAGGGGGTGCTGGTCACTGTCTGTCTCCTGCAAGAAACAGGGAGAAAGGTGGGGTAGGGGGACTTCAAAAATGCCCTGAGGGACAAACTAGTCAGAACTTCCAGCTTCGGCGAAGCCAGAGTTACATCCTGTTAGACGCTGCCCCAAAGGACATGCCAACACCTGGCTGAAACTGCCGGACCAACTCCTCCAAGCAGGGAGGACTTGAAAACGCCCCTCGGAGTCAAGGAGTGGGCCTCAAAGCGTCACACATGTGAGGTCAGTTCCATGGGACCCCAGAGGCCCACCGGTGACCCCAGTCTCAGCAAAGGCCTCCTTGGCTCTCCTCTGTACAGACGGGTACCTGCCACCCCATCCCCCCAGCCCAGCCTGCCCTGCCGGTGGGTCGCGACACACGCGTCGTTCTAATCAAGGGGTGTTCTACAGAACGCCGACAGAGCCCACATGCCTTCAGCTCCCAGTGTGCTGATATAACCCCCACCTACGGCCTTATTTTGGAAAATCTTACAAGCAGAGCGAGCCATGGAACAATGACTGGAAAAACCAAGGCACACACGTTTCTTCTCCCCGCGGCGCTTTGTCTAACTCGGGCTGGCTCACGGCGCAGCTTGCCGGCGGGCTCCCAGCGGCCTCAGCCCAGAAAAGGCTTATCTGCTCCGGCCGGGGAGCCCTGGTGCCAGCTGGAGGGGAGCAGCGTGGGCCCCAGGCCCTGCTCTCCGCCACCTCGCAGAGAGGAGGGTGAAACCTTACCCCTTGGCTGGAAGGCAGGAGGAGGGCAAGGCTGTTCTGGGAAGGGGCCGCACCCCCCGCTCTACTGCCATGCAGTGCTGCCAGGCGTCGGTGACGCGGTGGGCCGCCCGGACGGCTGTGCTGGCGGTACGTCCGCACTGAGGCGGTCTCCGCAGGGAAAGGCTTCTGCCACCCAGGAGCCTCTTGCCAGCACTCCGCTGGAGGCTGTGAAGATGCCCGAGGCCAGGGCCATTTTCCTGTGGCCACCACCCTGCATGCTTGGCCTATGCCGCATCTGAGAAACGCGTCCGCCTGAGCAGGGAGCCCTCGGGCAGCCCTCGGGACTGCAGTGCGGTGTGAAGACAGCGACAGTCTTCCCCCTCGCACCGAGGTCCGTCCTGGACCATCTCCCTCCCCCACGCCAGCAGTCACCATCTTCCAACCCTTTGCTCTTGTTCCCTAAATGGTGGAGCCAGGGCTCAAGGTTGCGAACACGTCTCTGCGGCTGGGCCTTGGCCGACATGCTGCGGTTGTCCTTTCTCCTGCGGTCTGACCACTCTGCCCAACCAGGCACCCCCAGACGTCCAAAAACCCCGGAGGCCACGGTGCTGTGTTCCCCGGCACCAGGGGGCCGACCCAGAACGGCAGCCGAGATTCGGTAACTGGAAGAGGAGGGTTTTACAGACGAAGCCCTCTAATGAGAATCCGACTTTCCATAAGTCATGCTCATCTGCCTTTCATTAGCCGCCGTGGCCCCGAGCCAAAACTGAAATGGGCTTGGCCCGAGTGCAGAGCGACTGCAAAACAAGATGGATTCCAAACATCTGGAAAAGTGGAGAGGGGGAGCGCGGCCTGCGAGGCACTGGCTCTGGCCGACGTGGGTACCTCTGCGTCTGCCCTGGGAGCTGGGCCGGGGAGCGGGGCGGCAGCCCACAGCCCTGCCTCCTGGGAAACTTGTCCGCAAGGAAATAAAAGGGACTGGTTCTCTAGACCCAAACCAGAAAGGGCTGAGACTCGATGGGGCAGGCCAGGTAGACCAACCGTAGAGGCCACGTTTAAACCAGGTCTGGGATTCTCAAACCCAAACCACAGCTCTTCTAAGCAAGTAAGCTGGGTTCCTTTGTTATGACCCAATCTCCTCCCTCTTTCTTGATTCTCAGTTATTTACTTTTCCTTTTTGGAGAGATTTTTGCTATGGGGAGCGTGTGCTCACCAGAAGAGACAGAAAGAAAATGAGAAATCATCCCCCGCCCCACTCAGGGGGAAACGGCCATGCCAAAATCCTCCAATCTCCTCTCACAATTTTAGGCACACATGCCTGGCGGTGAGTTTTAAGCCACCAGGTCCAGGACTCGAAACCACAGTCACCTACAAGGGAGTCCAGTGACGTAACTGTTAAACCATCTACTGTACTGGTCCCCTCAATTTGTTTTCTAAAGGTTTTTGCAACAGGGTGCATGCGCTCACCCCGGGGGAGAGAGGTAGGGAGAGGGAAAGTGAGAAATCACCCCCCAGGGGTATGGCCACACTTCAATCCCTTCTCCTCCATTCTCCTCTCGGGATCTTGGGCACACACGCACACGCGCCCAGCGTGAGTTTTAAGCCACCAGGTCCAGGACTCAAACCCCAGCCCCCCAGGTGGGAGTCCAGTGCCTTAACCACCATGCCACTTGGCCCCAATTCTTAGTTTTAATTTCCTAGATCCTCAGGGTCACCAGGGTCCCTGAGTCAGAGTTGGAGTCCCAGAGGAGGGCAGGAACCTTGAGACGAAAGCTTAACTTCCTGGAAAGGGTTATTCTAAAACCATCTGTCCCAAACAAAGAATGAGGAAGGAGCCCAGAGGGCATGGTTGTAGGCTCAGCCTCCGCACTAACCACGTGACCGCAGGCAAGTCACTTTCCCTCCCCTGGCCCTTCCGCTGCCTGTACACCAGGGATGCTGCTAATGTCCCAGCCAGGGCTGCGTGAGAGTGACACCCAACGTCCAGCGCTCATGCACTTGAGACACGCTGCTCACGCTTCCTGATCAGCTGGAGCTGACTTGGCTCCTCCCCCCACCAGGCCGTGCCCTTCCCTGACCGTGGGTCTCTGCTCTTGCTCTGGGTCCCTGGTGCAGATGGCGTGCGACTGACCTGTACTCGGCTCCCCAGCCTTTGACGAAGCTCATGCGGATGGTGCACATGCGCGTCAGCTGGTAGACGGCTTCGAAGCCCTGGTTGACGGACTGCGCCAAGAGGGCGGCGAACTCCTGGTTGTTGAAGATCTTCAGGTTGCACCCTGCCCGTGGGAGGACGAGGGATGGAAGAGTGTATGAGTCCCATGCTCCCCTCTGGACCCATGATCCCTGGGTCCCTCCAAATGGCTTCTTCCGCCTGGCACATGGTAGTTGGGTGCGTCAGCCACACACCCATGCTCAGTACCCTGATGGACAGCCTCGGCTGCCCTTGACTCTCACCTGCTAACATGGAGGAGCAGCTGACAGGCTGAGGGGGAGGTCAAGGCTGGCCCTACAGCTATGAGTGCCGAGTGCGGAGAAGGAAGCCTGCCATGAGGGACACTGAGAACAAGGGTGATGGCTGGGGGCGGGCCTTGCCCCAGGCAAGAACCCTGCCAAAGCAGGACAAGGTGGGAGCAGAGAGAGGTCTGAGCAAGCAGCCCAGGCTGCACTGGGAACTGCTCTTGCCATTCGACGGCGGGGGTACCAGAGAGGGGAGGCTCCTGGCTGCCATTCCGACAGGAAGCTCAACAGAGGGTCCAGGGCCCCTTCCACCCCGGTTCCTCCCATGGATGCACCTCCTGCTGGGGTGGAGGGAGTGATGGGGCCAGGGGTGGTGTCTGGGCACGGGCTGGGCCCAGCTGATGTTTGCAACAAGGTGAGGGGGTGCATCTAATCCTGCAGACAGTAAAACTAGGGACAGGCACAAATAAAGGTTCAAACAAACCTTGTCTGAAGTCCTGCTGCCTGAGTGCCAGGAATGTGTCAGCCAGAAAATTAAAGACAAAAGCACATGCCAGAAAGAACGAGAAGGTGACCTGGGGTGACACTTGCGAACAGGCCAACCCTGGGCTATGGGACTCTGGGCAGGGTCACGCTCTCCTTGCGACCCTGTGTCCGTGTCTGCTCTGTAACACGGGGGCTGGCCTCTGAGGTCTTGCCAGCGCTGACATTCTGCGAGCTGACAAATAACTGCAGAGCCAACTTGGCCTCACCGAAAGGGGTGGGGTGGGGAGGGAGCAGGCAGGGTGCCAAGAATGCAACCGAGCTTCCTCTTCTCATTCTCCCCAGGAGGAAGTGAGGTGGTCAGCCCCACTGGGCCTGGCCCCCAGCAGAGACAAGACACAGGAGAGAGCCGGACCCTCAGTCCTCAGCTCCTTCCTGGCTTGGTCACTTCCCAGCTGTGTGTCCTTGGGCAGGTGGCTTAACCTCTCTGAAAGTGTCTCCTCAAAACGTCTTCCCTACAGGGCCAGCAAACCTGGAGAGGCTAAAGGAAATCCCAGCTATGAAGCTCTCTGTAAATGCAACCGCGAAGGGCTCCACAAGCGCGGACCGCTCTTAGCATGTCTGACTCCGGTTCACCCTGCCACCGCCCCACCACGAAGGCGGGGAAGGACACACCGCATGTGTGCTATGGGCAAGCCCTGACGCAGGTCACGTGCTCGACCAGCCAGTCACGGCCCACAGTTGCATGCTCAGTGGCTGAGCTTTCTCCTGGGCTGTTTTCTCTTTCATGGTGGAGTACCCCGTGCATGCACGAGGCAGAGAGCAGTGCCCTGATGGGGTCTCCGCACACCATCACCCCCTTTCCCTAGCCCTCTAGCTCCTCAGGATCCAGGGTGCCCAAACCCACCAGGAGTGTTCTCACGTCAGCCCAGGGATCCGAACCCGCAGTCGGCTGCACGGCTTCCAGCCCCACAGGCAGCTGCGTTACTGCTGCACCACAGCGGCTGGGCGGCCTTGGGCCTGGTGTTTGATGTAAGGAGCTGTAGGTGGGATGAGCCTCCTCCTGGTCTTGCTGCCCAGGCCCAGCCCTGTCCAAACCACCCTCGGGGTCAGGTAGTCCACACCTTCCTGGGGTACAGGTGGGAGGCCTCAGTCCTATAGCAGGTCCCCAGAATAAAACCAGAACTTGCGTATGTACATGCATGGCCTGGTCCTATCACAGTTTCCCCCCCCAGTTTGCTCTCTGGCACTCACCCTGACCAGAGACAGACACAGTAAAGGGAAAGTGAGAAACCACCCCTAGGAGGTGGCCACAGTGCAATCCCTTCTCTATTCTCCTACTGGGATTCAGGGCACACATGCCTGGCATATTTTTCAAGCCACTGGGTCCCTGACTCAAACCATGCAGTCAGCCGCCCAGTTCCCCCAGCCACCAGGCCACCTGCTGACCCCTGCCGTGTTTTCTGAACACTGCCCTCTTCCAGCCAAGTGCTGCTCACGCATGCCCTGCCCTCCATCACCTCTGGCCTTGGCCCTCGTGGGCTCCACCCCCGTCTCCCCTTTGCCCAGTGCCTACCCATCCCTCAAGGCCCTAATGCCTTCTCCTCTGGGAAGCCTTCCTTGTTCCATCCCAACAGTTAAATGTGCTTTCTTTCTTTTTCTTTTTCTTTTTCTTTTTTTTTTTAGAGGTTTTTGCTATAGGGCATGTGCACTCGCCAGAGAGACATAGAGACAGAAAGC